ATATATAGCAGAAAGCGACTAAGATGCAACAATAGTTCAAATTAGCAAAAAGAAGCACAAAAATGCAGAAATTAGCAGAAAAATAGCAGAAAGGAGAATTATATCAGAAATAGCAAAAAATAGCTAAAATTTGCTTAAAAAAGTGGCTAAAAAAGCACAAAGTACTTAAAATTAGCAGAATCAGAATAAAATGTGTGAGGTYATGTAAAAATGTAATTAAAAGATTTAAAAAATGTTGAAAACCGCTTCATTCATTTTCAWTGGCAAAAAAGTGAAATAGCTGAAATACCAAAAGTCAAAGCAGGATTGTCATAAATGAGCTGAACGTTTTGATATATAAATTGTTGAAATACCACAAAAATTGTGGAACGAGTTAGATGCTGAAAAAAGTATGGAAGAAAAATGATCTCAATATTGTGAGTGCTGTGAATTATGTGAGTTATGCTATGTGTGTCATTGTGTGAATGCTACGAAGCATTCACAAAGTGACTCAAAGTGAAATAGCTGAAAAAGTCATAGCAGGCATGTCATAAATGAGCTGAATGTTTTGATATATGAATTATTGAAGTAGCACAAAAATGATGGAATGAGTTAGATGCTGAAAAATGTACAGAAGAAAAAATGATTTCAGTGCTATGARTGCTGTGAATTATGCTTTGTGTACTAAGCAATCATTCACACTCTCAAGAGTTGATTTTGCATTCGATGGTGCTCATCATCTACATAGAAAACTAATGTTAGGCTATTTAACCCTCCTGCTGCCCTTGGCTCATKTTATCAAAGGTGTTTATGATTAAAACAAGCTTTGTGGTAAAAAAAAAAATAAAAAAAAATAAAATCCACATTTTACTTTTCTGAGAACAGCGTGACTTTGACCTTTACAGCTCAAGCTTTCCAGATGCGTAGTGCGCCGTAAACATTTGAACCGGTGCTGTTCACCGTGTCGGGACAAACACGTGATCAGCTGATCGAGGTTTTCTGAGAAAGCCGCCGCCATAAAGTTCCCACTGGGACCGGGSGTGTCCGGMGGCAAACCACCAGCATCATCTGGTCACGTCAAGTCATTCATGTTGTGCTGACTGGTGTCAGGCTTGTGTTCTGCATCCATTCCTCTGTTGGACACGGTGACGTTTACAACACGAGTTTTACAGTGTGTAATCAAGACTGTATATACCCTATAGAAAACTGAAGATGTCTTGACGTCTTGTGAAGAAGTCTTCACCTTGTTCTCCATGTTATAACTTTTCACACAACTGAGCCTCAAGTTCAGCCCGTTTGTCTCAGTAAAGTGGCAGTCAGGGAGTGAGACACACGTGGTTACCATGGTGACCATAATGAGCCACTACACTTATAGTTTACACATCAAAACGCTGGAATTTTGGACAGCAGACGTTTTTCCACCAGAATATATTTTTAGTAATTTGAGACCAACTGCCGTAAATGAACACTCAAATCTTTTACTATATTTCATGTATATTACCATCATTTTTTTAGCTTAAAAAGCATTAAAAATCTAATTATCAATAACTTGTGTATAATACTACCCCCCCCCTTTATGGACACACACACACACACACACTTTATGATTTTTATGGTTAAATTTCTAGTATTATCCATGAATAAACACAGCAAGTTGTTCCACTATGGCACCCTCTGCAGAAGGGATCAGCCAAAAGAACAAAGCATGTTAGTAATCATGTATTTAAAATAATTCTGCAAAATGACCCAATCTTAAATTTATTCTCACTTAATGACCAGTTTATTTATATTTCTCAAATATCTAAGTCTCTGAAAAGTAGACCTATTCAGCTGTAAAATCACGTTATAAATGACCCTTTGAATCTTTCCCAGCTCTTCAACTTCACACAGTTAACTTCACTTTCAGTGAATCAAAACACAGACATCTTTGATCTAATAAAGTTTTATTTTCTTAGAAATGGCAAGTTTTCGTTTTTTTCTTTTGTCTTTCTAAGAAAGTATACCCCTTTTTGAATTCCAACTAGCATCTACATAATGGTTATTGAATACTTCACAATATATTAAGTCTAGATGTTATGATACATGCATACGATTCAGGCTGCATGAGGAGCCAAAGTCACCACGATACACTGGAGGAGGGGGGGTGGGTGGGGGGACGACTGCAGACTGACTTTAGTTCCAGTTAAAAAGGAGCTTGGTAGCCTCCTATTTGAAACCCTCTCCACAAAACACTGACTGGATCAACATAAAAACACACGCACGCGCACACACAACTTGCACTGTACACAACACACATTTACACACCCCTTTTTTTTTTTTTACAACCGTGGAGCCACTCCACCTGTCATTTAAACTAACACACAGGAGAGGATTTATAGTGTTTAAACGAGTTTCTCTTTCACAGAAAGAATTTCAGCACTGGGACATTTGCGTTTCTGCAGGTCGACGAGGTGGAGGTGGGAACGTTAACCAAAGAAAAATAATAATTATAATAATATATAATAAAATAAAAGACATTCAAATACAGTCAGCTTTTTGCTTGAAAATACAAAACTACATGAGAAAAAATTGAAATAAAATTCATTATCAGAACTTTTTTTTTCTTTTTTAAAAAAGGCCCAAGTGCTCCATCAGACACACAGTAATTTTTTTTTTTATCCACACAGCGCAACATTCACACATCCATTGCCTAGTTACAACTGTCTGAGCATCCGATAGGGATGGCAGCTGCGAGGAAGCAGGAAGTCCTGTTTTTGACAGCAGTTGTCAAGAAGAATCAGAAGAAGAGGATAAACTGAGGGGGAGAGCTTTGTACTTCCAAGTGCCCACCAGCTGACTTCATCAGCCCCTCACAATAAAGCCCTTCTTTTCCCATCTTCTTTGTTTACAAACTGCAGTACTTCAGCGAGGAAGCTCTTCGAGCTGTTCTGTCAGTTTATCTTCAGCTCCACTGCCTCCCTCTAGTGTCCTGCAGCAGCGAGTCCGGCTGCAGCCAGAGGAAGCTGCTTCCT